AAATTTTCAATATTCATATAAAACATAAGTCAAGCGAGCCTTCCAAAAAAGTATTGTAAAATAATATAAAAAAATTTGTTATCAATTGTGTAACAATTTTGTGACGTTTCAACGTTTCCCCCTGTTCTAACTCACTATATAATTCTACAGATTTTACTATTCCAAATCAACCTATCATAGAATCCAGACATGTGGAAAGAAGAAAAAAAGAAAGCAAAAAGACACGAAAATTAATGGTTAAACCGATCTAAGTGTACTAATTAAAAATGCGGGGACGAAGTTTTAAATATAATAATACTCTAAGCCGGGCCGCTTTACTCCTAAATAAGATTTTAATTATATAAATTATATGTTGCTCTGCATGTCAGTTTTTTTTCGAATTGAGCATTACCCTTTGAGAAGCATTTGATAATCCAATATATTTGTTTTTGAGCTTGTAAACAAACCAGTTTTCATGTATTATTTATTATCTTTTACATTATCGTACTTCAAATTAAAGTAATTAAAAAAATAAATGATATGCCATATATCATTTTGTATTGTGATATTTTTAAGAATCTGACTTATGCGATTTGAACAGCTCTCTAATGCAAATTTATACTTTCAAATTATTCAATATTTATATAAAGAATTATACGAATTTGTGCCTGAAGTAAACATTTGCTTGAGGTTACAATTTCAGGAAAATTACCTGTATTCGGCGACTAATTTCTGTTAAGTGCGATTTCAGGCAAGTGTCAACTTCAAACTCGATATACAAATTTTATAATAAAAATTAATTTTAAAATGGTTAAAGTCAAATGCAGAAATGTGTTATATAACAACTATTTTCATTATTTCCGAAACAACTAAAAAAAGTTTCTGATGTCAATTTGTCAATTCTCAATTCTAAATTTGATTATTAATTCAGTTACGGTATCGGTAGCTTTTAATAATCAGATTTCTAAATTCTTCAATTTCTCATATCGATATATAGAAGTTATTTAATTATTTTCAAATCCTTTTTAATACTTTTAAAAACAGCCACGTGCCCGTATATAAAATTTTTGGATATGGACTTCCGGTTCCTAGTAATTAAGGCAAATTTTAAATAGTGCAGGCCAGGAGTGCCGTAACCATGTCTGAAATACGTATTAGCTAAACTTCAAGAAGAACTTATAAATTTCAGTGTATGAATTTAAGCATTATAATCCAGTCCCTATAAGAATTAGTTTGACTTATGGACAATTACTATCAGTTATTATAACTCTTGATTAAGTATTAATCACTATTAATGCAGCAGAAAAATCATATAATTTTATAACTGATATGAACTTTGTAAATTTATTGAAAATAAAAATATATAAGATATTATATAATTCATAATTTAAATAAGAATAATTATTGACAAAAATAATACAAATTTGAAATATGGTTTAAACCTTTACAAGATTTATTAAAGGGCTTATATTTATAAATAACCAATATTACCTTTAAATTTTTTACTCAAAAAAATTTCTCTTTGATAATATCCGCATTTACACTTATTTAATCTGCGTTTAATTTCTCCGCATTTCTAAGAAAATTAAAATATTATAATAGACTCAAAAAAATCTATAATTTTAAATTATTTATTTATAAAAATAAATACTTACTCTGCAAATTTTTTGATTACATCCATTAAAAGGACAGTAAACATTATTACAAGTTCTTCCATCATTGGTTGGTTGGAAAGGAAAACCACATCCAGAACAATATATATTTTTATCATATTCATCGCACATTTGTCCATAATGCCATGGAATCTTATGTTTACAGCAAGTCATTTTTTTTGCAGCTTGTGCATACCATTTGTGGGTATATATCTGTATTAATAACATATTTATTCAATAACTCATTAGACATTTCAAAGAGAGGAATAGCATATAAATATACAGTATTTAATAAAATTTAAGATACTTACTGATATCAGCAGCATTGCCATTATCATCAACGTGTTTTTGACTAGAGCGACAGTTTACTATAAATCAAATTTTTTATATTATTAATAATAAATTCATAATTTTTGCTAAAAAATTTGTAAATAAAATACCATTTCTGCACCATTGAAAGCCTTCGGTTTCAGCTGCAGCGCGATTGAAATAAAGTTTATCATATTTAATATAAATTTAATATTTAATATTGATAAAGAAATAATGAAAATTCTTATTTATTATTCTAACTCTTGTAGACCTTGTAGGATCTGAGAAAGCCTTCGTTTTGGTAATTTCTAAAATATTAGCAAGAGTCATTTTCTTTCCACAGCCAGATATAAAACAAATGAAATTTGCACAATAATTCAATTGTAATAATTTGTCATTAGCACAGTCGAGACACATTGTGTTGTTATGTACACATTCATTAGTTAAATTTAAAAATTCATCAGTTTTTTCATCATACGACAAAATTCGCAACTTTTTTCATAAAACGACATATTGAAAAACTAATAATAATTTTATTTTTTTTTAATAATAAATCTTTGCAAAAGTTTTGAATCCGAATTTATTTTTTAATATGTGGGATTTGATTTATAAAATGTGATTATTAATAAAAGAATTTAATAGTTCTATCAATGACCGATGTGTGTAACTTCGGAGAACAACTTAATATGGGTTATCTTTTTTGGTTATACGTATATCAGACAACAAAGAAAATGTATTACTCAAGAACTGAGAGAGATTTATTGTGATACGTACATATAATGGTTTATCAATGAGTAACAAAGAGTAAAATACTAGAAAAATTATATCGTTAATGAAATTAAGGAAAATAAAGAATTTACTTATTTGTATTTAGAAAAGTAACAAGAGTTTAAAAAGAAACTTGTTAAGTTTTTTAGTTTTGTAATTTGTTATATTAGTCATTTTATTTTAAATTTATTCATTAATTTATAATTAATTTAAGTATCTCCTAAGAAGGAATTTTAATATAAAAATAAATAAAGTAGTAAAAATAGCAGGTTAAAGTTTATAAAATTAAGGATCAATTACTATAAATAAAATTTCATTCCGAATTATTTTTATTCTGTATTTCCAAGTTAGTTTATTGCAATTTGTAAAAAGGTGTGACCTCTGAAAACTATGATGCCACGAGAAATTAGCAGATTCTAGCGGATTTTTTATTCTTCGAAGATATATCTTTTCTTTTTATTTCACGCATGTTTAGAATTTACTATGAGAAACTAATCAAAATTTAAATTCAACCTTTCTAGAGTTTCTTTTAAATGTCACACAATTATATAAATGATCATTGCCTAAAATTCGAATGTGAGGATCCAAATTGCCTGAATTATGAAATCAAGAAATTTAATTGGATTGGACATTTGAATTTTAGGCAACAATGGTATTATCTGTCATTATATAGAAATATGTACGTACGTACGGTTATCTAGTTGTGCGACAAAATGATGTAAACATGAAATATTTTTCTTGGCAATATTCAAAACTTAGAAATTCTGAATTCATTTATTCTGTCTTAATTAGGAAATTTGATTTTTTTATATTTATAGTTTACAGTACCCTTATTGGCTATAGTAAAGCATCCGGTGTACATGTTATTTGAAAAATCTGCCGATGATTATCATCGACCAATTTAGAAAA